AGAGGTTTAGCTTCACATACTAGAGCTTTAAAAACACAAATCTTCTTAAAAGGCTTCCTTGCCCACTTTTAAAGAAAGTTTCGAAAAACAATGCATTTATGCTCGCAGGGGTTCTTCAGCATCTCTGGGCAACACAAATACATGTACATCCAGCCTCCTGGCTTTGTACTTGCAGCACCGCTGCTCCTGCCTCAATCCCCAGGCCCCTGTCACTTCCTCCAGACAGCCCCAGTTCTGTGCTAACCTGCACACTTGGTTTCACAACTCGCAGCTCCCTGCTGCACTGGACTCCAATCTAACTCCTGGGTGGAGTCCTCCTGTCTCCCAGGGGGAGCCCTGAACATAAGTCAGCAGCTTTTTCGTAAAGATGGCCATACATCTATAGAATTTCTGCAGATTTTCTATGGTCAGATGGAAAAAGTGCAACAGATTCCTCCATCTACTCTAAACTGTGTGGATGGAAGAAACTCATGGGCCAAGCTTCAGTATCTTGCTGGTCGGCCCCGCTGGCTCTCAAAATCTGATTGGATGCAGGCATTGCTCAGTTATTTTGAGAGCCAGCAGGGCAGACCAACAAGATACCGAAGCTTGGCCCAGCGGGAGATTCCTTCATTCAAACAGTTTAGCGTAGATGGGGGAATCTGTTGCACTTTTTCCATCTCACCATAGAAAATCTGCAGATAATCTATAGGTGTATGGCCAGTTTAAGGGTTGTACACAGGTGCCCAATCATTAGGTGTTACTAAAACACAGGAATGGAGATTTCATCCCTCCCAAGTCTCTTAGAACTCTCCCTTTTCCAGGATCCCGAGCCAAATCCAGAAGGCCTGGAAAGAAATGTAAAGCCAGCTCTTTCCTGATAAAAGCATTTGCTTCCTGGAACTGCTCAGCCCCTTTGGCTGAGAGTCCTGGATGGCACCTTTCTCTTTTGTTAGCTTCAAACAGATCAGAGCAAAAACACACACCACTGCGTTCACACTGTTGCCCGATTCATTATTTTTGAATGAATGCAAACAGTTTAAAACACATGTTAACACACGCTGAAGTGCAATATGCTGTGTGTTGATTCTTGATGTGCAAAGTGCATTGCAAAGTGAAACACAAAGTGACACATGTTGACATGTGTTTTGATACATTTCTATTAGTTTGAAGACACATTAGTCAAAATGCAGAGGTATGTTTTTAACCACCTGCTGTCCGGCCGTTGTAATTAAACGGCCGGACAGCGGCTTCTTAAATGCGGGTGGGTGTTTTTAAACGCCCCGTCCCGCTCCGCTCATGCCTGCCGCTAGGCGGCGCATACGAGCGGGAAATCAGCGTGGAATGTAAACAGCCAGCGATGGCTGTTTACATACAAGCGTTTGGGCATCTGTAGAGACGCCCGATCGCTTGTAATATGCGTGCTGGTGTGCGCCCCCCTCCGTTGCAGCCACTGCTTGCGATCCCGAGCTCCGCTGTGCCCGGTGTGAGCCCGGGACCAGCACAGCAGCTCTGCGGCCGGAGTTCAGTGCACGATCTCCGTTTGATCTCCTCCTCCTCTTCGGAATGCAGGAAGAGATGTGTATTACATCACTTCAGCATTCCTCTGTCACTCTCCGGTACAGAAACCGGAGAGAAGCTGGTGAAGCAGGTGTTTGCTTCATCAGCTTCTGCGGAGGTCCCTAGGTGACATTAGACCCCTGATGTCTCCATAAAGAGGACCTGTCACTGAAAATTGGCTATCACAAAGGGGGCTTGTTAGTCCCCTATGTGATAGCAATAAAGTTAAATGAAAAAAAAAAAAGGTTTAAAAGAAGAATTAGTTCCAAACAAAATATTGAAAAATTAAGTCACATATAAAAGGTAATAAAAAATATAAAATTAAAAAATTAAAGTCCTCCGCCCTCCACATACACATGCAAACATGTGTCATGTGTCGAGTGCGCCTACATGCAGAAACGACAATTGCATCCATTACGCCGCACATGCTACATATCGCCGCGAACGTCGCAGTGAGAGCAATAACTCTAGGCCCATCAATCACTGATAACGCTAAACTGATGAGCGGTAAAAGCGTCACAATTTTGGGTATGGTAGTTTTTGCGAGTTCGCGGGGGCACGCAATTTTAAAGCTTGATATGTTTGGTGTCTATTTACCCGACGTGACCCCGTCTATTATATTTTGCCAAAAATTTGGGCAATAATAATTGTTTTATAACATAACGTAGGGAAAACTGTTTTTTTTTTCGAAATAAAAACCGCAGTGTTGATTAAATACCACCAAAAGAAAGCTCTATCTGTCCCCAAAAAATGGTATAAAATTAATTTCAGTACAGCATTGCATGACGGAATAAATGTCAGTCAAAGTAATGCAGCGCTGAATACTAAAAAATGGCCTGGACAGGAAGGGGGTGAAAAACACCCCGGTCAGCAAGTGGTTAATTAACTTTCTTTTACTAACTATTTTCAGGATAATAAAGAAAGATAATGTGTGCACAACCACTTTACATTCCCTAATACGGACTTAATACGTAACAGAAGGGTGCTAATTGTGGAGCTTATCCAGGAGACCAAAATACGCAGGCTAATTACAACTATGACTTAATCAATGCTTTTTTGAGAAATCCCTTTAGCAATAATGGAATTAGAACAAGGGGACTGGACACAACTGCAGTTTACAGATCTTCCAGACTATAGGCATGAAACCAGATTATGACTAAAGAAGACAGGCATAACAATAGCTCTTTGTGTGAAAGGATATGACCCGCCACTGAGAAAAAGATGGAACACTGGTTAGTTCACCAAATTTCCTTTTGTCTTATTTTTGTTGGATTGACCATCTAAAATTTAAAATGTGACAAAGCCAAAACTTATATTTAGGTCTAATTTAGATCAGATCAGGCACAACAATAAATTGGGTAAGATTTGGTAAAACAAAGTTGTTGATAGGTTAAACAGTATGTACTGATATAGTTTTAAATGGCAAATCTATTTATATGTAACAAACGGCCTGCTGCCTTCCCCATGTGCTTGTTGATATTCAGTGTTCTGGTCTGATGCATCTGCACACCTGGCCTCAGTCAAGTGTATTTAAATAGAGTTTAGAACATTCAGACAGTGCCTGCTCAAAGGCATGTGATTACTACTTGCCTGAACTCATTTTTTTAGATCGGTTACCCAATACAACTGGGTTTGTTCTCGTTTCGTGCCTCTTCTGACCTTCAACTTGTTTCTGATTACATTTGTCTAACATTAGCCCTGACTCTGCATGAGTATTTTTTTTTTACACCAGAAGGAGTTCCAAATGTGTTTATTTATATAATGCATTAACATGCGCTGCAATGTATTTTCAGATGCATTGCTCTCAATTCACAAAGCTTTAAGACGAGGAGAAGGCTCTCTATTTTAGCCACGTGACTCTATTTTAGCCATCTCACTGGATTCAGTGGAAAATAATTAAAGTATACTTATCATGGTGGGTTGGCATTGTGAATTGAGCCTGTTGCATTTTAGAGGTCTTTTACATATTCCAATGGAAAACAAAAGGTTTATGCTCCAAAAATGCAGCAAATGCACCCACTTAAACAGATTGGTGTGAACAGGCTTAATGAAGCCAATGGATTTTTTCAAGTATATGCATGCAGCAAAATGCAGGGGAGCTTATCTTGTGTGAACCAAGTCCTTAGCAGTATACAATTTAAAAGAGAAGTGGGTTACAGTATAAAATCATAATCCACGGTGGGAAAGTGAATCTTCAAAAATGCAAATTTAAAAAACAAGTAGGTAGTGATACACAGACTGAAATGCATTATCATACAGCTTACCTTCTTACGGACATCATATCCACACTGTGTATTTATCACCGATTGCTGTAAAATAGGCAGAGAAAAGAAAGTTAATAAAGCTGCCTATTAAACTAAACTAGGATAACTGGACCTTTTAGAAAAGATAATCCAAAGTAGTCACATTATCCATTTCATGAGATATCAGTGTTGCATTTTCAGATTTTTACCAAGGGAAGTATTTTTTGAGATCACTATTACAGAATTTCTTGAGCTTCCACCAAAACAAAGAATTTGTACAGTTTAATATTGTATTATTTTAACTGCAGCTGAGGAGACAACCAAAAATGATGCAGCTGTTGTATCTGCGAAGTAGGTCCCTTATTAGCCTATTAGCATAAATGTCAATCACCTTATTTTAATCTATCTAGCCATAAATGTTTATTTTAAGCTCCTTTACGTGGTCTGCTGATTCTGATGCTGCCAGATCACATAGGGGCTCATTAAAAAAAACACAGGGAGGCTGAGAAGTATGTGGATTCCACTGGTGGGATTTTTTTTAATAAAGGACAAAGCTGTCTTTGAACAAGAAATTTGTCTTACCTTTTATTACTATTGTAGAAGGGCACCCCACACTTCTCTCTACTCAGATTTTCACCAGTGCAGTTAAAATATTCATTCAAATTCCAGTCGTCTGGGCCCTGAGCACCACAACAATGGTTCTGCGAGAAAGACATAATGGGGGCAAATCAATAAAGAATTTAACACTGTTCTGGTGCTATGGCCGTATTAGAAAGTCCTGCTCTAAATTCACAAAAGCCGCACTAGTTTTCTTGCCATTTCCGATTTGTACAACAAATTCAGGTAGTTCTCATATTCTGGTTACAAATTATTACTGTGATACTGTGATGTTACTGTGATTACAATGATAAGGAAAGTGGAGGTAAACAAGACCTCTTCCATATCAGGGTAAATTACGTTGCAGGTTGCAGACAAAATTCTTTCTGAGACAATACTGCTACAGATTCATATACACCTTACCCACAGTTAAGTTGCGCCATTTGTTGATTAGACAGGAGACAGATTTCTAATGAATGTCTTAAAGGTTCACATGACTTGGAGACCAGAGGAACAGCTCTTACAATACTTATTCTTGATGCCAGTGGATTGCCTAAATCATCCTAGTATCAGAAACTCCCATTCTGGCATATTGACAATGCCAGCACACATTTGCAGTAT